GGCTTGGTTTCTAGTCCCTGACCGTCCTTCTTGCCCTCCTCTGAACTTGTTCCAGTTTGTTGACATCCTTCATAAAGTGTGGTGCCTTAGGTCCCCTATGGGTAGAAAGATGACTTATAAACAGACATGCCACCAAACCAAACATTGGTGGGACAACTCCAAAGAGGCCTTTCAAACAGAAGAATGCTCTTTGTAAAGTAGGGCACATGACCCCATGATTCTCATTCTTCCTTCTGCCCACATTTCTACTGCAATCTCGACTATTGTTCCATAGGTAAAGGTAAAGGTTCCCCTTGACATTTTAGTCAGTCGTGTTCGACTCTAGGGAGCGGTGCTCATCCCTGTTTCCAACAACTAGAGCCAGCGTTTGTCCAAAGACAGTTTCCATTGTCACGTGGCCAGCGCGGCTATATGTTGGAATGCTGTTTACCATCCCACCGTGGTGGTACCTATTTATCTACTCACATTTACATGCTTTTGAACTGATAGGTTGGCGAGGAGCTGGGACAAAGCGACGGGAGCTCACTCCGTTTCGTGGATTCGATCTTATGACTTCGTCTTTTGACCCTGCAGCACACAAAGGCTTCTGCGGTTTAGCCCGCAGTGCCACCACGTCCCACTATTGTTCCATTTAATTCTGGCCTCCCACATACCATAATGTTCCATATGCTGAATTGTCTCTCCATATCTCCCTTGCTTCAATACCAAGAATTAAAATAATAGAGGGATTCTCCTCAGCACATATCTGCCAGAGTCCTGTTACTCAAATACACAAGCGTAAGGTAAACAACATGGAAGGACAGATCGTGAAGCTGAGGCTCCAATACTTTGGCCATCTCATGAGAAGAGAAGACTCCTTGGAAAAGACCCTGATTTTGGGAAAGTGTGAAGGCAAGAGGAGGAGGGGACGACAGAGGATGAGATGGATGGACAGGGTCATCGGAGCTCCCAGCATGAATTTGACCCAACTCCGGGAGGCCGTGGAAGACAGGAGGGCCTGGCATGCTCTGGTCCATGGGGTCACGAAGAGTCGGACACGACTAAACAACTAAACAACAACAACAAAAACGGAGTCGCCATGTGGTAGATCACAAGACTGGTTTGCAGAACAAGGGATACCAGTATCAACTCCTTCACTAGGGCCAGTTTGCTGCAAAGATTTACACTGTGAGTCGCCATGTGGTAGATCATGGGGCTGGTTTGCAGAACAAGGGATCCCAGTATCAACTCCTTCACTGGGGCCAGTTTGCTGCAAAGATTTACACTGTTTGACTTCTACTAGTATAATGTACTTAATAATACTTTATTAAATAATAATCGTCTTCTGGCCCTTATAGCACAATTTGAACCGGTTTACTCAGGTGGAGGTCTATCTGAAGGCAATACTGTATTGCTTACCTTTGGGGGGGGAAAAGGGATAGGATCAAGCTATTTGCTTTTTGAGCTGGCTGGATTGCTCAGTGGTTTAGGTATCTGTCTGCACAGCCAGAGGCTGGGAGTTTGATTCCCCAACCTGCAGTGCAGGAGCAGCCAGCCTGGGTGGCCTTGGGCCTGCAGCACAGGAGCAGCCAGCCTGGGTGGCCTTGGGCCAGCGGCACAGCCCCAGGTCGCCCCCTAGAGGAAGGGAATGGGAAACCACTTCTGAATATTCTCTACCTGGAAAACCCCTGGAAAGTCGGAATCGACTTCAGAGCACATGATCGTTTTTATTTATCATCTCCCCTGTCAGCCCTTGTAAGCCATTTTAAAAGGAGAACCCAAGCTCCCCAGCACAAATTTGTTTTTTTACAATGCACTGAAAGCACTATTCCTGTAGCAGCTTGGCTTTGACATCTTTATTTTACAGATATACATTTTTTTTCTTGTTATTTCTTCTAATGATATGAACCCCCTTCAGGAAATTTACTCAGCGCTTGTACAAATTCAATGTCTCTCTGGAGTATTCTCATTTCCTCTCATTTATTTATTTTTTTAAAAAGTAATCTTGCTGGGTCAGTGAATAGGAAACACTTCACCCACGCTGTTCAGCTCATACTTACTGCTCAGCATGTTGTGCCCCATGGAGGGCAGACGCTGTCGATTTTTGATGGACCAAAGCATTTCCCCCCTCCCCTTTCTCACAGTGCTGTAAGTGTCTTTTTCCATTAAAGTCTAAAGAGCAGCTGTACTCATACGAGGCCTGTATGAAAGGCGAGGCAGTTTTTTTAAGAAAAACTTTGAAAAAAAGGGTGCAGAAACTATTCCACGACACAACGCAAAGCATGTTTACTCAGGGATAAGTCCCACTATGTCTGATAGGGACGGAGAGAGTGTCCAAGGAAATGTGTATGGTCGTTAAGTCGTGTCCGACTCTTCGTGACCCCATGGACCATAGCACGCCAGGCCCTCCTGTCTTCCACTGCCTCCCGGAGTTGGGTCAAATTCATGTTGGTCGCTTCGATGACACTGTCCAACCATCTCGTCCTCTGTCGTCCCCTTCTCCTCTTGCCTTCACATTTTCCCAACATCAGGGTCTTTTCCAGGGGGTCTTCTCTTCTCATGAAAGTATGGTATGGTACCTTTTGCAAAGCTGCATTTTGTGATTTCATGGTGCGCGGAGAGCCAAGCACTTAAACAGCGATGACACAGAAGAGAAGCCTCCTCAAAGATGAATAACCATATATGAAATTGGTCAATCATGGCTTTCTCAGCTGTGCTGGATTTGCTGTGGCAGTTGGGAGGTTTGGGGTGTATCAAAACTCAGTCTAGACTGATTTGTGCCCCAGGTCTGAATTATTGAATTTGAAAAGTTGGTCCATCAGAATTGAAATGGGTGTAATGTTTCCAATTTTGCACTGCGTACATGAAATCTAGAGGAATAAAATGAACCCCAAAGAGGGGAGTCTAGCAGATTTCAGACAGAGGAGCATGTGTAAAATTTGTTCTAAAACAAAAACAGGATCTTGCAAGCTGAAGCAATTTGTGCCCCATCCAATTTTATTTGTGTTCTGGATCTAAATCAATGAGTCAATTCGCTTTGCTTCAACCCATGACGGAATCTGGTCAGTCTGTTCCATCTGAACCTCGTACAAATTGTTCCAAATCAGGACCATTTGGTTCAGACTTTGTGATTTGTTCAAATGCAATGCTTAGCCCTTGTTTTCCACTCTGCAGTTATAGCATATATTACTTTGCTCTTTGTATGTCTTTTGATACTCTCTTGTTCACTGCATCCTTCGCTTTGTGATTAGAAAAAAAACAAAAAGCCAGTCCCTAGTATTCATATATAAATATTTTTTAAAATCCTTTGGGTTTATATCGTGTGTTGCAGTGGTTCCCAACCTTGGGTCCCCCGAATGTTCTTGGACTACAACTCCCAGAAATCCTGGTCAGCACAGCCAGTGGGGAAGACTTCTGGGAGTTTCAGTCCAAGAACATCTGGTGACCCAGGGCTGTGAACCACTGGTTGGTTGTGTAAATTAACACACCCTTGTAAAGAGAAGAGAGTAAAGAGAAGGGCCCTATCCTTCTCCCCTGGTCTCAGCCTCCCATCACCCCCACCATGGAAAGAGAGAGGTTGGTGGTTTCTATGAGCTTTCCCCTCCAAAATGCCCCAGCAACAAAGATGGCTGTTATTAAACAGGGTCAGGCAGCATCTCACAGAATAACTATTTTTCATAATGGCTTGGTACAGATTTTTAGCAAATGTTGTTATCTGTCATCAAGCAGGAATGAACTTATACTGATCCTAACAGGGCTTTCAAGGCAAGTGAGATATTTAACAAGTGGTTTTCACAGTTCCACAGCACCGGTGGGTTACTATACAGTAGCTGAGCAGGGATATGAACCCAGGCCTGAGTTCTAGCCCCTCATTCTTCCTGCTATAGCAGTGGTTCCCAGCTTTGGGAAACCTAGGTGGGACTACCATTCCCAGAAGCCTTCACCACCAGCTGTGTGGACTGGGGTTTCTGGGAGTTGCAGTCCAAGAACACCTGAGTCACTCCGTAGTGGGAACCACTGCACTATATTGCATTAAGAGTCTTCAGAAGGAAAACATTTCTTGAGGGCAAAAGTTGGATTTGATTCATCATTGCAACTACTCTGAGACCCAAAAATGCTGACAGGGGGGTTGTGTGTTTGGTTATAAAAATGCAGAAATAAATATTAGTAGAAAACACTTTTCAGAAGCTCACTTGTTTAAGCTGTGAAATTACTGTCTTTTGCTTTCTGGCTGGGGATGGTCTTACATAATGTTATCAGAACTTTTGTGCCTATATCCTGTCATAGATACCTACAGAACATGTGGAAAAACATCCCTGACCATTGCTTTCTGAAAAACAGGTTCAGGGTCTGGGATTTTCTCCTGCATGTGAGTGGTAGTGAGCCCAAGAGGGGATCCTGCAGACCATCTTGGCTGATGACGCTGATGTTGTCAACATTCAGGCTGCCCTTTGCTATGTCAAGCTTGGCGTCCTTTTTCCTGCTGGCAGGAATTAGTGCAGCCACATCACACCATATCCTGACATTTTGAATCATGGATAGAGAAGCACAATTTTCCACATTCATAAACCAGATGGCTTTTGTTTTTGAAGAGTTTGTATCCTTGACAAAGGGGCATAGGTCCATGGTAGAGACGGCATAATTGGGCTACATGATTTGACTCAGTATGTTCAAAGTCTTTGGCAGTCTTTCCCAACTTGGTGTCCTCTACATTTACTGAAGTACAGCTCCCATTTTTCAATGGTTGTTTTGGCTGCTAAGAACTGGGTGTTCAGGCCAGAATAACTGGAGAGTGCCAGGTTGTGGAAAGCTAGTCTGCTGAATCGGCCACCTGCTCTGCGTCATCTTCTTTTTCTCTTTTTAACCCCTATCCCAGCTACATCTTAGATGGCTCATCAGGTTTGTGTAATAATCATAGATCAAACACTTAATCAAAAACATGAAAAGCAAAATGTGTACTGTTGCCCCATCCTGTTGGAGAAACCATCCACTAATCTCCCTTGCTTTCTGTTTATTCTCAGGTCAGCCACTAAATGTTGCCTGCAAGGCGTTTTTTGGGTTTAGTGGAGAGTCGGGTCCCATGATCTACTGGACACGAGGAGAGAGATTTATTGAAGAGCTGGAGAATCACATTAAAGAAGGCGAAATCAGGTACCTCCATTTTCACTATGTTGGTGTTTTGGGGTTTTTTTTAAAGCATGCTCCAAAATGCTACTTTTAACAGGTTGTTTATGTTGAGCAGAGTATAATTTCCTTGCCTAGAAGTTAGTTGACAGATGGCTTGCTTCTAGCATCGGATTGGGCCTTATTTTGTTCCTGTTTCAGCAGAAACTTTAAAGACGTAGCGGCTGCTTGTAGCTTGATAAGCTGTCTCCGGGGAGACCCTTGAGTCCCCTTCTCCTTTGGGCTTCGGAGACGTCTTTAACATTTAAACCTCAGAAATAATGCCGACTATCGTTGCCCTCCGCCATAACACTCAGGAAAACTGCCTCCATTGTCTAATATCGATATAATCTGAAAGATGGATAGCCTCCTGTGAGAGAAATGTCAGCCCTGTACTAAACTTTGTTACCTGAGCATAATATTTACCAGCTGCATCCTCAGCCCAAGCCAACTTTTCTCTGCTTTTCGCACCTACTTACTCTGTCGGATTTGCCTTTTAACTGGTTTCTAATTATGCTCTGTTGTATAAATGATTAATGCTTTACGGGAGCAATCTTGATTGCTTTACTGTCTCGAAATGGCTCTTCTTCCATCGTTTCTCTCCTCCTGCTTCCAGGGCAGGGATATAAGCTTGAATGAGGAGAGAGATGGTGCTCTGGGCAATGTGAAAACTTGTTCTGTTTCAACTGAACAACATAAGTGGTCCTCTCCGTGGGAGAGGGAGTTGTACCCACTGAATTTTGTTAATGCGTAAAACTTTTGTTTGACTTCATTTCTGAAGAACTTGCAGACCTCAGTCATCACCTATTCTGGACTGGAATCGTGTACTGATTTCAGACATATCCCAGATTCTGGACTGAATCATCTTGATTCAGGCTAATTTGCATGAGGTCTGGATAGAAGTGAAATATCCAGATCCAATTTCAGGGTGAGCTGACAGAAATTTACAAGAGTACAAACAGAACTGAATGTGGGGCACATATGGCTTCGGTCTTTTCCTTTCCTTTTCATGAAAAAAAGCAAACCAGAAAGATAACTGGTACACAAGCCCCTGACACCTCCTATTTGAAATTTGGGGAATTTACTTTCCTGCTTAGGCTTCAACATAGCTCCAGTTTCATTGCATCTGTGAAAAATTAAGTTATTGTGGTTTTCCAGGGCAAGTCAACGGGGAATCAGGGTAGATCTAAGACACAAACTGAATTGGTTAGGGTACATGTTGTCCCAGACCAAATCTGGACACAGTCCAAAGCTTCTAATTAGCTTCCACACTAGATAACAGACGCCATGCACAGCCTATGTATGACAGAAAGTACCCAAGGTTCAAAAATGGGAATGCTGAAATTGGGAAATAATCCCATCCTCTTCAAATTCAAAAGAGGGACAAACTAAGAAGCAAGGCATGGCATGATGCAAGACTATATCTGTTTCTCCACTTAAGAATTTAAAAGAGCCTAGAAAAATTACTTCTATGGACTACAATTCCCAGAATTCCCAGCAATCATAGGCCATGTTGAGTGTGAGTTTCTGGGAAATGTAGTCTAAAAGGGAAATTTTCTAAGTTCTGAGGGAGTCAGAAGTCAGGTAAATATATTTATGCTAAAACTGCAGCCTAGAGAGTGCCCATAATCCAAGAAGCCTGGTTGGTTGGTTGGTTGGTTGGTTGGGTTTGGTTTGGGTTGGTTTGGTTTGGGGTTGGTTTGGTTTGGGGTTGGATTGGGTTTGGTTGGATTGGGTTTGGTTGGATTGGGTTTGGTTTGTTTATAGGCCACCTTTTTCCCAATCAGGGGGCACAAGGTGGCTCGCAATATTAAAATAATAGAATTTAAAACATAATAAGTAAAACATTAAAAAACAAATGATACACTAATTAAAATACAACTGAATAGAAAAAAGAGGCATGCATTAAAAACTATCTTAACTTTAAAATGGCATTCAGTGACAATCATTATTGTTAAAAGCCTGCCTGAAGAGATGGGTCTTCAGCCGTTGGTGGCAGGATGAAAGGGAAGGGGGCCAGCCTGATCTCCTGATCTTCCATAACCTGGGAGCTGCCACAGAGAAGGCCCTCTCCCGTGTCCCCGTGAACCATGCCTGTCCTGGCAATGGGGCCGAGAGAAGGGTCTTCTGTGATGATCTTAAGCCCAGAGAAGGCACATGTGGGGAGATACGGTCCTTCAGATAGCCTGATCTACCTCTAGTGTACAGCTGAGGAACCTATGACCCTCCTCCACCAACATTTTCTATCTGATACAGTTGTCCCACTCTCCATAATGGGAGGGCCAATCCCAACATGAAATGATGAGGCACTATTTTGTCCTCCTCTGCCTCAAGCAGTAAACTACCTTGAGTCGGCACTTTGCCCAGCTAATCAGCTGTACAAAAGAATGACAGATTGAGGAGGTGGGAGTGTGGAACAGAAGCAGAATGAACGAGTCTTATGCCAGGTGGGTTTTTTAAGAGCTGTAATAAAAACATTGTGTAAATCGAACTGGCCCACTTAAACAAGAAATAATAGTCTTTAAGTCTGCCTGGAGGGTTGTGAATTGTGTCTGATTGAGAAAGAAACCTGCAACGAATTTTAATGCTATTGCTTTGCAGTTCTAAAGTAAAATGTTCCGTTTCGGATTTCATAATGTATAAATCACCCTATCACTTGCTAATTTTTCCCTTTCTTTTGCCGAGCCTATAAAACAGAGTACAAATCTCTTTAAAGGGCTGCCCAGAAAACTGTTCTCAATTATCTGTCCCACCCACCCATCCTCCTCACACATGTAGGTCCTGTTTATTATTGGTAGGATAAGAAAAACATGACCCATATCAAATCTACGAAGGATGAGCATGGAGGGGCTATAAAATAAACCCTTATTTTTCCCCCTTCCAGACTCTCTGCACCCTCACCTGTATCAATTAATTAGGGGATTTGGAATCCCACCCCTGAAAGTGTGAGGAATTATTGGAAGAAGCAAAGCAAGAAAGACACAAAGGAACAGACACAGAGAGAGAGAGAGAGAGAGAGAGAGAGAGGAGAGACCCTTAGGTAGTGTGTTACTTCCATTTAAAATTCTGGAACGTAAACAGAAAACCTGAATACCAGAAAGTACCCAAAATCTGGAACTTAAACAAAGTGGTGGGCATTCGTGTTCGTAAAGCAAACAGAGAACTGAAATTTGTTTTGCAGGGAGCACACCGCCTACCGTACCTTCATTATCAGTAATGTGTGAAAACAGGATTTAGCATTCTCTTCAGGCTGGGCTGGGATCCAGAGAATATGTGCTGTCTTGCGTTTCTCAAACAGCTTCTCTCACACACAGGGACACAGGGTCTTGTAGCATGCTTTTGACATTTGGCCAGCCCTACCATTAGGCAGGTTGAGTCTGCCACACTCTGTTGGTTTTAAGAGCAACCCTGATGAAACGGTAGCAGATAGTCTATTCCTTTGTTTATAGTGCTATTTCTATCTGGCCAGGGGTGGAGGTGTATGCATCATTTTGATTCTCTGCCACAGTCAACCAAATAATTTTTGTGTCTAAGCCCTGGCTTAAAGCTCAAAGCCAGAAGACATGAAAGAGCTGCTGAGCCTAGAAAAAGGAAATGCACTTCTCATTACACCCCAGTCAATGGCCATGCTGTTGTGATGCATTTATGTGGGCATAAGACTCGCATTTTGGACTGCTTTTAGCACAGTATGATGAGAACTATTTCCTAGCAATCAAATGACTGACAGGGAATAGTGCTCCAGGCCGACCCCAATCCACACCCATGCTGGACTTTTTCTTGGTCCTTTTGAGGACTGCACCTGAGCAATTCCCCTGTTGACGGAAAGGTTACTTTAAAGAGGCCCATTCAAAACCCTTATCCTGTGCGATCAGACACACACCTTCCTCACCATCCGATGAAAGTAGCTGAAGAGTTGGACCATTTGAAAGAGCAAAGATGAACAAGTTTGGATTGGCATAAACTTCTGTGGACTCACTTCATCCGAGTGCAGGGGCTATGCGGCATGCATTTGAGAAAGTGGGTCCAAGTAAAATGTATTAGTCTTTATTGTTTACACTGCCAGGTCGCATCAGTGCTTGTAAGACAAATAATTTCCATTTCTCTGGCCCACAGAATGGAAAAGGTATGACAGCTTTGTAAGGATGGCTGTGTTTATATTTGATATAACTCTTTATTCTCTCCTGGAAATTACCAGAATCTCTAAGGAATTCAATGCTCCAAAAATTGGAAACTTGGTTCGTAGTCCAGCACTCATTCAGAAATCTTTTTCGTATATATATACACATTGTGTCATCTGTAGATTTGAATAGGTTTACAGAAGGAGGCACAACAGCTAGAAATCAGGAAGATCATACCAGGGCAATCTATTCCTCCATCTACTCAGATGTTCTCTATGGAGACTACCACTATGGTAAAATGCCCCCCCCAAAAAACCCACCACCCCAAACACCCCAAAAGTATTTCTTATTACCAGTTAGTTGATATCCTTTTCTAAAATGGGAGATACCATGGGTTGGATCCAAAATATCCTACACCCAATGCTGCCTCTAAATTCCTGGCTCTCTTGTTTTCTCCATCATGAGATCCTCTCTCTCTTTTTTTGCAGATTTCTTATACGCACAGTGAATGAGAGAAAGAAAGAGATTTGGGGGGGGGGCGCGCTTTGGAAATAGATCCAGGTTCACCTTCAGATCAAATGTGGCTGAAAGCCAAACAACCTGCAAAATGTTCTTTCTTTCAGGCTTCTCAAAGAGCATCTTGGAGAAAAAATAGTGGAGTTAATGCTGATCTTCGATGTCGTGAAGGAAGCAGACCTAGCCAATTATACGTGCCATGTAGAAAACAGGAATGGGCGGAAACATGCGAGCATCATTCTGCGTAAAAAAGGTATCTATTTCTCCACAACCTTGTTTGTGACTCCGGCTGGGTTCTTGAAGGACCGAGCCTTGTAATTTTTCTTTTCCTGTCCCAGCATGTTTAGATTAATAACCTAATGATTTATTCTAGACTTGTACTGGCTGAGAAATAAACATTTCTACTTTTCCACCCCTTGACACACAAAGCTTTTGTCTCGTTTTCCTCCCTGTCTTCTCCTCATAGTCTCAAAAAACACAGCTACTCTTTTAATCAGAACTCCTTGATTAGTTTTCTTAAAATGTTTTCTGGACATATCTTCCATCACCCCTGGTCACAGGCCATGCCGATGGCAACAGTCATGATGGTCTATAAGATACCTTTTTCTGCACGCTGCCATTCACACTTGTTGAAAAACTTCCCAGACAATTGTTTTGTGTTTGGAAAGAAGTGGTTAACTGATGAAAGAAAAATAATTAGCTTCTGGGATTTTCCCTTGTGTGGCATCACTAGGTGAATGGTAGTGAACAGAAGAGGGGATCCTACAGACCATCTTGACTGCTGCCATGGGTGTTGTCAACATTCAAGCTTCCCTTTGCTATGTCAAACGTGGCATCCTTTTTTTTCTGCTGGCGGCACAGGCACAGTTTTGGGTAGCAATATCGGGCCATTTCTTGGCTTTTTGAATTGTGGTAAAGAAGCACAGGATCCCACACTCATAAACCAGAGAGTTTTTTAGAAGAATTGAACAAAATTGATTTGGGACTTCAGTGAGCAAAGGTAGAAAGTGGTATTTGGGAATAAAGTACACATTTGAGTTGCAGCACATAAATGAACCCCCAATGCCTTCTTAAAAAATTATGAAAACTTAAATTAAGAGAAATGGGAATGAAGAAGCAGTGGCCTGAAAGGAAAAGTGTTCAGCCCTCTCCTAATCCCCTCTTTCCCCCTAATATTCCCTCCCTCTATCCTCCTTTTCTTCATTGGCTTTCCTCCCAAACGTATATTTGCTCCAGGGAACATGTAATGTGTAATTAGGCCCTTAAGGCCATTTTTCCCCTCCTAATGCAAAAGAAAAAAAAACCATCTAACTGTTCGGTGAGCATCTTACAAGAGGGAGAGTGTATCTTTCGTTTCAAGAGTACAGTCTGATTTGTCCCCGCAGCTCCTGACAAGTTATCCTTTGCAGATTAAAAGGAAATAAGACATCAGTGTCAGCTTAGCACTTGTGTTTGGAATGTCTGCTTCACGCGAGACAGGAGCAAAGCGTATTTCGGGACTTGATATTCAAAGCAGGGACAGAGCTCCCGCATCCGAATCGTTTGATGTCGGCTCCACGCTTGTAATGTTCTCTAAAATATTGAAACCGCCCGAGTCGTCCTAATAATACGCCACCACTGGAAGGCTGCTGTCAAAGAAGCGGAGTTCACATCACTCTGTGAGAGTCATCGTGAACTCGTGTCTAGCTTTCAGACCTCCGTTATTCCCTCCTCGGGTTGCTGGACCATTACGGCACAGTCACCCTTTAAGTCTGGTTAGCGTCTAGACTGCAGATACGGAAACCCTGTCCTTTAGCCAGCGTGTCTCGTTTGTCCTGCTTTCTTGTTGCTTCTCTTCCCCCTCCAAGAGCGTGTGACCTTTTTTTACCTCCAAAGCTTTGTAGAGGGTTCAGAAGTACTTTGAATCTCACTTCCCCGCTTTCTCTGTTTGCCACTTCTCCTCCTCCTTCCATCAGAACATTCTCCATGTATTATTCCGTTCAGAACCAGTTTTTACAGAGCTTCTTTCCCCCATCGTTCCCACCTGACCCACCCTCACAACCTTGTGCGCGTGTATACGTTTGTGTGTGTGCATGCATAGGTGTATAAGAGAAGCATTATGATTGTTTATTTAGCTCTTTATCTGAAGTATTTATTTGTCACTTTTCTGCCCACCGGGGCTTGCAAATCAATGCACAATAAAACAGACTAGCACATTCTTTTAAAATAAGATTAAACTGAAATGCAAAGCCCATTTAAAAACTGTTTTTTAAGTCCAAAGTCCCTTCAGTGCAGCATTTACTCTTCAGCAGATGCTCAGCAAGTAAGAGAGCAGCCTAATTTCTGCCTGTCTGTCCTCTCCTCATTTGTCTCCCCAAATTCTTCTCCAACCAGATCTGCTCTCACAAAGCGTTCCAAAGGGACTGGTGTTACCTAGAAGCCTTAAAGACCGTCGTCCCCTGCCCCGATTCCTCTTCCAAGCCCTTTGCGCTGCAGAGTTTTGAATTTCTGGTTTAAAATCCTCTAGTTGCACAGCAGAGATTCACACAACAGAATTAACTGAAAGTTCTCCAGTTTAGTTAACCCCTTTTGCTCATTAACTGGCGCTTCCAGTCTCAATAACTTCAGGACATTTATAGAAGAACAAATAAATATTTTTATTACTTGCAATCTTATTATTGTTACTGACTACAATATTATTACTGACTTTCAGCAACAGGCCTCCACAAACTACTCTGACTTCTTCCAGCAGACTCTGAGAGGGAAAAAGACACAGAGCAGGGGGGGTGGGCTTCTCTTTGAAATCAGAGGCAGGGAAGGAACAATTGGTGACTGCTGGATTGATTGACAGTCATGCGAGCTCAGAGAGATCCCTCCCAGACAGACTTTGCGTGCTCCAGCGTGAGGCTTTAAGCTCACCAGAATCTTCCTCCTTTATGTTCCATTTTCCCTAAATATGACTGCTCCCTTGTCAAAGGCACCTAAGCTACACGTGTTATCACCATGTGCTATCTACGGGTCCTGAGAACTGGATTCACGGCTGATACAATTCAGGGGACATTGGTCTCTCTCCATGGTCAGGACTAAAGAGAGGTGCTTCATCCTTTATATATATGACAAAGCAAGGCACCACAGGTGGTACGGATCCTGTCCCCCACTCCCTGGGCCAGCCAGACCACTTGCTGGGCTCCGTGTATTGCTGGCACCCTTCTTTGGTGGTGGCACACCAATCCAGGCAGGAGCCCGCCCCACCGCCCAAGGCAGCTGACCACTGGTGAGGAGGAG